GATTTGGATTTCATACTGTAACATCTCCGCATTTTTACTTGAATTTGTAGCCGACGTCATGCTATAAATCCTCCTCCATCTTCTGCTTTCAACCTCTGCTTTCAATGATTAACAGATCCTACGTTATTATAGATATTTCACTCTCCCTTCAATTTCAGGTCTGATCGTAGGAGAAAACAGGCAGGATTATCATGGCGAAAGCGGCATCTCTCCTTTCTGCTTCTATTATTCTTCTTGCTCTCAGTTGCGTTGATCTCTTCGAATTCGAGCATGTTTTTATTCCTGGAAGAAACTGAATGAATTAATCATTGTTGAATTTACTTCTTTCTACTTCCTATTTGTTTTCAGAATGAGATTTGTTGGCGGTGAATAGAGAGGTATTCTTCTTGCTCTCAGATGCGTTGATCTCTTCGAATTCGAACATGTTTTTATTCAAGGAAGAAACTGAATGAATTAATCATTATTGAATTTCCTTCTTTCTACTTCCTATTTGTTTTCAGAAGGAGATTTGTTGGCGGTGAATAGAGAGGTATTCTTCTTGCTCTCTGTGCGTTGATCTCTTCAAATTCGAGCATTTTTTTATTCCAGGAAGAAACTGAATGAATTAATCATTGTTGAATTTCCTTCTTTCTACTTCCTATTTGTTTTCAAAAGGAGATTTGTTGGCGGTGAATGGAGAGGTAATTATCATCGAATTGTATATCAGGGAAAGAATATTTGTTGAAAACTGAGTTGTTAGGTTAGGATAGATCTGACTATCGGGTTATTGGAAATATGTCAATTCGGGTAAGATTTGAGTTTGCCTTTAGAATTTCACTTCCAACATTACCTCACTCATTGTCAGAGATTAGTTTTCTTGAAAGTATAATTTTTAGTTATACAATTTACTTTTATTTATCCTAGACATCAGTAAGAAAGTCTTAACAAGACCAGTTTCTATACTATTTAGAAGCTTCCTTTAACATTCTAAAAGTTTAATTTTGCTTGACATGTGAATTTATGGCACCATTTCAAGCAAATATAGATCAAGTTTGGAGAATCATTAAGAAGGAAAAAATAATCAGATTTGTATTTCAAATTTAGGATATCAATAATACATAGCATAGATGGAGGCTTTGAGCAGATTGGACGCCTTTTTTTTAATCAATGAACTTAGGATTTGTTATAGATTTTATGAACAAGTCTGCTCATCATGGGATTCAGTCAATTTTAACCAGGTGGGGAATGGTATTTCCTGATCCCATAAAACGGTGTGATTTCCGATAGAACTTTATTTCCTCACATTTTTCAGTCTTAACTTTACAGGTTTTCTCTAATAATGCTTTTCTGTTGAAGATGTTTTCTGTGTATTGTCAATTTCTCCTTCACTGACAGTAGTTTGTATTATAATTGTTATGTATGAAATTAACACGTGATTGTGTCGGAGTATTTTCTGTTCGATTTGGCATTGAGATAAGGAGATATGACTTCAGAAGCTCTACTCTCTCGTTAGGGTCACTAATTCAAGTCGACGGTCTATCTTTCTAATTTTAACACCAAATTGATCTCTCTAATATATATATATATTTAATCTATTTAGATTATATGTATTTTGAAGATTCATCATCCACTCTTACCAAGATTGAAACATTTAATTAGCACTTATCATTAATTTTATTATTTTTTAAAATATCCCTTTATTTATTAAAAATTTAGTTGATTAAATAAGAAAATCTATTTATAGATGAGATCAAACCAATGTAATATACATTAGAATATGCATTTTAAAAATTATTTTATTTTTTTAGTATAATAAGTGGGGTGGAGATTTTAACTCATGATCTCTTAGTAAAAGGCAAGTGTTGAGCTAAGCTCGCTCTTAATAATTATTTTGTAACCTATACAAAACCTAAGTCTTTCATTTTATATATTTGATGGGTGAGGATATAAAAAGGGAGAGACAACTAAAGAAATTTAGAGGGGTGGAGACTAAGGAAAATTTGTATTTAAATAGCAAAATTACTAGCTAATACTTAATAAAATGATAAATTTCACGTGTTACTTACTATTGTCTATAAATGATTCTTAAAAGTTTAAGTTTTTATTTTTATTTTTATTTTTATTTTTTATAAGTTCAAGTTGTTTCTGTTAAATGTATTCTCACAAATATTCCACTTTTAAAAAATGAAATTGAGGTGTGAATATGTGGGTTTTTTATACCACAAAATTAGAGAAAGAGAAAAAGGAGATGTTTTTATTATTGAGATTGGAGCTAATACATGAATTTCAATGAGTTATTCAATTGAAATTAAAAAAAAATGAAAGTAAGAGATTATTTTATGATAATCAATTGATTAATTTATCATCAGGAATCAATTTAATTATGGCCGAGCGGATATAATATCTATTCTTTTAAGATTTAAGTTTGGATTCCACCTCGATGAACTTTTTTTTTCGTGCAAGATTGAAGACTTTGCAAGACTCGTGAAAATAAATACTTAAAATAAAAATCACATATTTTAAGAAATTTTTTAAAGAATTTAAAATTTTAATTTCAAAGGAAAAGAAATGGTGAATTAAGGCTTATATTCTAGAAACTAAATAGTTGTGAGTTCGAATCTACGTCAGATGTTGTTGTACTGAAAAAAGCACGAACAAAATAGTATTACTTTAGTAAAGTATGAAGGATGAAAATTTCAATTTTACCCCTAACTTTTAGTATTTGATAAAGTTAATCAAATTCATAGTAATTCTATAGTAAAACTACGAAGGAAAATTTCAATTTTACTCCTAATTTTGATAAAGTTAATCAAATGATTACCGAATAAGTTGTAATTTTTACTTCAATTTCAAACATTGTTTTTTAGAAGTAAAAATAACATAAAAATCTCTCAAAATTCAAATCATGGACAAGATCGACCCTTGAAATCTCATAGAATTCACAATTAAAAGGAAAAAAGATCTTAATTTGTCTCTTCTCTAAAGCCCCCGAAGCCTTTGTTTTTTGATTCACCATAGGACTAATTTTTAATGACGATTCAAATGAAAACCTATTAGGCAGTATAAATTGCAAAATTTGTTCAAATTTAAGGTAAAATTTGTAATGCTTATCTAAGTTTAAAAGTTCAATTCAATGAACTTGAAAGTTTAATTAGAGTAAAAATTGATTCATCTTATCAAATTTTCAGGTAAAAATAAAAAAATTTCAAACTATTAAGTTGTATGGGAGATGTGAACATCTTTTTTTTACTCATGAACTAAGAAAGGTATACCAATTTTCATCTTAAACTTTCAATTTCATCAAATTGACCTCAGACTTTGGCAAATGTTGGAATTTTTATTTTATGTTCAATTTTGTTGAGAATTTTTTTATAGCGTTTTACAATAAGGATCTAAATAAATTCTCATTCCACGAGAGCCTATCATAGTTAAAACTAAACGAAAAAAAGAGAGGCAATATAAGATGTTGGAGGACAAAATCTCTAACCTGGCACATGACCAACAATGATAGATTAGTAGATTTATCTCAACTCATCTAAACAAGACACACATTCTGATTTGCAATATAGGTCAACCTATGAAGTTTAGGAGGAACATAGAAAATCTTCAAAAGATACATTTTTGAGCTGTGGTATTGCCGACGCTACGTAACTGCCTAACTACTTGTCGGGACGGCTATAACAAAGTTGTCACCCTCTAGTCGTCTATAAAAGAGAACCCACTCCTCTCACCCAACTACGCAATTCTGTCTGAGATTAACTTACTCAGCTTGATCTTGAACTGACTTGAGCTTTAGAGTGTTTGTTCATTTTTTACAGGTCTGCTCGCTCCTTCTTAGCTCGTCTGAGTGAAGATGTGGCCGACCTTCGATCCTTAGAAGAATTCAACATAAACATAAGGATAATAATCATTGGAGATTTGTGCTAAATTCACCCCAAACTTGAAACTACTACCCCGTAGGTTTTACTATAATAAATATTATGAAGATTACAATGTAATTCTCACAAGTGCTCTATAATGATTCATCGCTATTTTCACTACCATGAAAGTTCCCACAAATCACTCTTTTAAGCTATAAGATATCACAACAATGACTGCTTGGTTCTCTAGGTACCATAATAATGACGATCTAAACTCTTTGTCAAATACCCCATGTTAACCCACAAAGAACAGAGCCGTGGTCACTACTCTACAACCATATTTGCTTATTTTCACTTCACAAAACCATAATAAAATGCTTTTGGCTTTATTAAAAAATTATTGGATTGTTATGATACTAGAGATAGCATCAGAATGCCGTAAAATTGTAGCGTCGTCGTGCATTTATTTTTCTCCTTCTATCATTCTCTAGATCACGGTAGTGCTGAGATGCTATCACCAGCATTTCAATACTATGAATTGTAGCATGTCTCTATTATGCTTCGCGCCAACGTTGGCGACGTTCCAACTAACATCTCGAAGCTCTCCTCTTAATATACTTGGCTATGCATCCTTGGTTTTGGCTCATAATCCTAACAAACTTCTACTAAAAGAAGAGTCCAATTTTTTTTTCTAAATCCAGTGACCCATAGAAAGTCAAAGCCCTATACAAAATTAGCTCCAATTAATACACAAGATCAATCATCGAGTCAATCTCATAATCACAAAAGAAAAAAAGAAAATGTAACTCTAATATCACTTTTATACAAAGTTCCATCAGTTTCATGCTAGACATACATGGTAAACTTCATTGAACAGAATATTTTTTTTCCTTGGTCTTAAAATGAAAGCATGCAAGATCATAAAGACTACAAAACTTATTTAAGTTTAAGGTAAAATTGCCACCCTCGTAAAAAAAATAAAAAAGTCCCCCTAATTAGAGCACGTATAGGAATGAGTTGCGTACAGGATACGACATATCGGCACCTGCAAACGACATGATTCCCATTGACCCAGAAGATAAAGAAAAAAACGACGTCGTTGGGTTGGGTATTGTCCTTTTCAACCACTCCCTCGACTCTCTGCAAAAAAATTGGCCCGCAGCCCACGTATTCGCTCTCATTCGCCTGTTTCGTTTCCCAAATCTCTCTCCAAATCTCTCACGCCGAGTTCTTCGCTCAAAATCTTCGGAATCCATTTTTGCTCTTTTTTGTTCGTTTTTCCCATCCCCCGTATTTCATTCAATCGCTCCAATTTCTCTGACTCTACTGCGGACGCAACCCAATTTCAATTCCAATTCCAATTTCAATCCCCTACATCAGAGCTCAGTTTGCACAAATCCCTAGTTTCACCCCTCCGTCCTTTATTCATGGCCTCCTGTTTTTTCTCTGCTTAGTTGCTTGCTTGCACACGACCCGGCCCTGATTGCAGGTTTCTTCCCTACTTTGTTTATCCCCCCCAATTTGCGATTTTACTGCCCTTTTTTTCTCTCGCCTGTGTTAGGGGGTGGGATTTGATCTGAATTCATGATTCTTTTCCAAGACGAAACTGGTCTTTATTCAAGATTCAAGGAGAATGGAGGGATATGCATGGGTCTGGAGGTGAGAGGTGGAAACAGAGGCCGCACATGTGGCCGGTCCATTCTAATTCCACACCTGTAGCTTGCGAATTATCCGCCCCAGATTTCTTTCTCAAAGTATTGCGAGTTTTACATTTTTTCGCTTCTTTTCTATTTTCCAGTTTCGCACAGATTTCGTTTTTACTTCTGAATTGCTGTGTCCGTTATTTGCGTATCTTCTGCTGTGCTGTGCTGTGCTGTGTTGCGTTTCTTTTCCCCGCCTTGATTTTGATCTTCTTTGTTACGCATCCAACTCACCGCAGGATCGCTCTAACGCCTTCCGGAGATTACGTGTCATGTGAATCTGATATGATTTTGTTAAGGCTATTCTCCTTAAGGTTTCTAAATGAAGACATAATCGTTTATTATTTGCTTTCTTTACCCGCTTTCTTTATTTCATTTTTCCATTGGTTTCCGGCATGCCTTCAGTCTTCACCATTTTAGTGTGATTTATTGATCTGATCTCTTTAAAGTTAAATTAAGTATTAGTGAGAATCTGCCAGTATCAGGGAACTACTTGTTGCTTTAGTACTTCAAAAATTTGAAGAGCGTTCTTACTGCACACTGGTTAGTTATTTGGTTTGGTATAAATGTGTTACTTCTTGGTGATCGAAAAGGGTCCTGGCCTATATAATGTGTTACTTTTTGGTATAGATGTGTTACATTTCTGTTGTTTTTAAGTCAAATTGAATTGCTTTAGATCCCCAGCAAAGTATGATTCAAATGAACTCTGTAGTGGCTAATTTTTGGTGGGGATTCAACAATGGGGGTAACTGGTAAGGATATTTGTTTGTTTACTTGTCTGTGTGGATTGTAGACCTCAAAGTGGACGGGGTATCGCTTTTCTCAATCAAGCTATGTTGGTGTTGGCTTACGCTTAGCCACATTAGAGAGTGTCAAACCACCCTAAGGTTTTGCTAGAAAAGGTTTTGAAGGGAAAATACTTTACTGAAAGCTCCTTTATGGAGGCAGAGCTTGGCAGTAGACCTTCATTTCTTTTAGAAGCCTTTTATCGGAAACAGATGCAAGATGGAGGAATTTGATTGGGAACTGGTCATAATTTATAATGATAGGTGATGCCGAAGGGAAAAACTTAAGATTTTCACCCCTAAATTCCACCAAAATAAAAAAGTGGTCATAGTTAAATAATGTGGCCATGTCTTCATCTCCTAATTTAAAGGGATTTAGATGCAAACTAACCAACTAGTTTAATTATAGGCTTGTTTGGATTGATTTGGGTTTAAATGAGTTGACACTTGAGTTGGTTTATGAATCTATAAGATTAGGTTTGTATGGAATCAAACTGTATCCAATTTTTTAATTAAAGAAATGTGTTCTACTTTCAATAAAATTTCTTTTGCATGTCTCTTTTAATATTATTTACCTTTGTGGCTCTTTTTAACATTTTTTAACTCCAACAATTTTTTCTAAAGTTATTTATTCATGTCCTTAGACTATTGTATTTATTTATTATTTTCTGTTGACTTGAGTGTTATAACCAACTGAGTGCTTCTTGACTAATTTTGTGGGTTTAGACCATGATTTCCATTTACTTAGGATATTAATTATCTTACGAGTTTCTCAATATTGAATAATGTAGGGTTGGATGAATTAGATTTTGTAATATATAATTTGACATTGAGACTGTTATTTGTAATTCTATGGGTGAAACTAGATAAATAAATTCTTAATGGGTTGTTAGACACGTGGCTTAAAAAACAAGAGTTTTTGTTAAGTATGGGGATGAGAAGCCTAGGTTTATGTTCACAATGTTTTGATTGTACAAAATAATAGATTACATTAACTGAAGTTTGTGTAATCTGTCTTTGGTTACTGGGTTTATGATTTGAAGACATATGTAATGCAAAGGGAAGATCTCATAAGTCTGTGTTTATGTAATATTGATTTTTGTAGTTCATGGGATTTGCAAACTTGTAACTTGAGATTAGGAATGCACTCAGTCTCTTAATCTTGAGTTATACAAACCTAACACACTAGCCAAACATTTTCTAGGAGGACCATCTTTTCACTATTTTTTATTGAACAAAATTTGAAAACGATCAACTTGAAAACCCTGACTAACCTGACCTAAATATTATATGATTGGGTTTGGTCCATTACCTAACCAAGCCATTTGTATTTGACAAATTTGCAATTGAAGAAATGGGTTGAGTACAAGGTGCTTCTTAACCCATGAACACTCTTAGAGATCCACATGCTTTTCATATAATGGGCTTTGTGGAATAGTAGGAATTTATGGAACCATGAACAAGCAATGCAAGGTTCACAACATCTACTTGAATGGATCATGAAGTACGGTAAATGCTGGAGAGATGGGCTATGAAAGTGTACATGTTGTACTTTCATTCAGTCATCTGTTGAGATTTGTTTCTCCCCATGAAAGTGTATAGAAATTTTAATACTAATGCCTCAATTGACAAAGAACCGGATTGAGTTGTGGTTGGTATGGCCATTTGGAACTTTAAAGAGAGTTTGATGGAAACATCAACATGCAAAATCCTGCATGTGTTAGATAGAAATTGCTGAAGCTATAGCATTAAAGAAAGGAACTACTTTAGCCCTGGAATTTGAGTTGTTGCTGGTGGTGCTTGAGTTGGATCCCTATTCCACTAGTTGGAGTTGCAAAATGAGGATGAACTGGAACAGAAGGTGGAATTGGTAATTTCAGAAAACAAAGAAGGCTACAACAGGGGTCAGAGTTGTTACCTTCTCTTTGACGTGAAGAAAAGGGAATGGGTCTGCCCATGAACTTGCTAAGCTAGTAGCGACGTCAATAAAGTGGGTTGGAAGAAGCCCCACTTTGGGTCATGGAGTTGCTGTCAGGAGATATTATCTAAGTTCTATTTTGTTTCCTTTTATCTTGCTGGCCAAAAAAGAAAACCTATTGTTATTCCATAGAAGTTGAATGCTTGAATTGATGATTTAGGAAGTTTTTATCATTCAACTTTCTTGTGAAGCTGAAGCTCCAATGTCTGACTAATATCTCAATTCCATATGCTTGAAAAGAATGTGATAATTCAAATGCAGTTTTTCTGTCACTTCTCATGCTGATCTTTGTTTTAATTTTACTTTTTATGCTTTCATGAAATCTAAATATTTACATCCAAGCAAATAATCCGACAAACTCCTTTGTTTTCAATGTAAAATTGTTATTTTTGGTTACATGGATTTAAGGATTTTGTGTGTGTACTATATACATGTTTTTTTTCTTTTTTGTCGGAATTATATGCAGCCAATCCTTTCTGTGAGTTCTTT